ATCATCATCATTATCATCATCACCATCATCATCATCATCAGCCTTATCATCGTCATCATCGTCACCGGTATCGTCATCGTCATCGTCATCGTCATCATCAGTACCACAAGCATCAGCATCATCATATTCAGCATCATCATCATCATCATCATCATCATCATCATCATCAGCATGATCTTCATCATCAGCAGCAGCAGCATCATCATCACCACCACTATCATCATCAGCAGCATCATCATGTTCATCCTCCTTCTCCTCCTCAGCAACATCATCACCATCATCATGAAGCGAAACTGGCACACCTCGCATACAATTCTGGACATGTGCGTGTCATTCATACGCAGGGGGGGGGGGGCGTGAACACGTTCACCGCCCCGTTATTCTCGTCCCCTTTCTCCTTCCGCTCCTCTTGGTCTCTACTTCTCTAGAGCTACCCGAAGACAGCTCAAGGGATGCCAGTGGAGTTGGTTATATGTGGCCCCAGGCTGGGAGAGGGCCCCCGAGGAACCCTGGTCAACTTAGTCGATGTTCGAACTTGCCTTGGGCACCTGCTGGTGCAACATTGCTGGATGATCTTCCGATGCGGGGGCCACTTCGGCCACCCTCGGCCCCCGAGGCGGCCAGCTTGGGGCCCGAGCCAGCAGCATTTAGGGGGCCACATGCGAACCCTACCCCTACCCCCCACGACTTCTGAGGGGGAGGGTGGGGTTCACTTTGCTCGGGAGCTCCCGAGCGAAGTGAACCCCACCCTCCCCCTCAGAAATCGGGGGGGGGTAGGGGTAGGGTTCGCATGTGGCCCCCTGGCATTGGTGCCAAATTTGGCCAAGTCGCTCCCCACTGGGACCAGCCCGGGCCACGATTGCCGCCCCCCCTTCTGGTAACCCCCGTGCTGCCCCTCCTGCCGCGCCTGTCTCGTGCTCCCTTTGCTGTCCGTGCTCTCCCTGCTGCGTCCGAGAGGACCAAATTCGCCAATTCTCTCGTGCCCCGCACGGATCCCAATGATCTCCGCCACCCGGGCGTGCGCCGGCTGGTGTGCTCGTTGCCTCTGCCCCTGGCGAAGCTGGACTCGAGGACCCTCAAACGCGTCCAGGCCAACAAGGGTCCAAGTGTTGCTTCCAGTTCAATGTCCCTGCCGCACCGTAAAGCATGCTGTCTGTGTCAGGGCGCCCCGTGCCCCCTCCCAGCCCCTCGCGGCACTCCCTCCCCTCCCCCGTCGAACGAGCCCACACCGCAGACACTGAAATCGCACGCGGCGATGACAGCACTCACCAGGTGCATTGGCACGAGTCACGTGCGCAAGGGCTCCCAGCTTCGCGCTTCGCGCTGCGCGAAGCGCGGCGCGCGAATAACTTCGCGCTCTCGCGCCGCCCTCCCAAAGGGAGAAAAGGAGGACGAGGAGGAGGGGGAGAAGGAACGAGGACCGCGAAGCGCGAATAACTTCGCGCCCTCGTGGGAGCCCTTGCTGATTGACTACTTTGTGTGGCCACGTGTTCAGTGCCCGAGGCCCCACGGCGGTCCAGCAGCAGCCGAGCACCCGAGCAGCTAAAGGCAGGCGCGTGCGGGGAAGGAGGGGCGCGAGGCAGAGCGCAGAAGCAGGGGGCCAAAGCAACTAACCACCCCACAGATCCGAACACATCGCGGTGCAGGATATGCGAGAACTCGCCTTCGGACACAGCTACGTTCCGCATGCTATGGTGACAGCCATGGCCATGCCGCACCATGACGCGTTGACCAATGCTATTCCGAAATGGTCGCAACAATCAAATGAGAAAAACAGACTCCCCTCACGTGATCACAATGCAATCACGACAACACACGTCACGATTTTCATAAGCTGAAACAACTGACACGCGCTCTTCACGCGGCTGTGTATGCGCCGCACGTTGGGCCTCCGACTCACTATCGACAAAACCTCAACCATTGTCAAATGATACGCCGCTCCCTGGTTGACCACATGAGCCTGCTACTTCGGAAAACGATTGGGACGAACACGTGTCAACAAACATGATGGACCCACGAACCCGGAAAGGGATAAAGACATGTGCAGCATGGTCACGTTTTCACGATACCCAACTGGGCGACATCTCACGAAACATCCCACGAGACACCCCGCGAAACATCCCACGAGACACCTCACGACGACACCTCACGAAACATTCCACGAGACACCCCGTGAAACATTCCACGAGACACCCCACGAACAGGCAACCACTCAACCAGACACGCCACGAAACATTCCACGGGGGTGCGACTGGGTGCGGTCGTGCTGGGGTGTGGTCGTGCTGGGGTGTGGTCGTGCTGGGGAGTGGTCGTGCTGGGGTGTGGTCGTGCTGGGGGGGTCGTGCTGTGGTCGTAATATGGGGTTGGTCGTGCTGGGGGGGTAGTCGTGCTGGGGGGTGGTCGTGCTGGGGCGTGGTCGTGCTGGGGCGTGGTCGTGCTGGGGCGTGGTCGTGCTGGGGTGTGGTCGTGCTGTGGTGAGGTCGTGCTGGGGTGTGGTCGT